TGATCTCCTCTAGGACTGACCAGTTTGATCGCCTTGCGGTCCAAGGCGATCAAACTGGTCAGTCCTAGAGGAGATCAACCCTGACTGCTCTTTAGAAGGCCAGATACTGAAGATGAAACTCAAATACTTTGGCCACCTAATGAGAAGGAAGAGCCTAATGCTGGGAACAATAGATGGCAAAAGAAGGGGACGGCAGAGGATGAGGTGGCTAGATGGAGTCACTGAAGCAGTCAGTGTGAACTTAAGTGGACTCTGGGGGATGGTGGAGGCCAGAAAGGCCTGGAGGAATGTTGTCCATGGGGTTACAATGGGTTGGACATGACTTTGTGACTAGTAACAACTAAAGCTCTTCTGTAGGAGGAAAGAACAAGGCCCAGTCAAAGCATCCTGTCACTCTTCACACTTCCAATGCACAGGCAAAGTGAGTGAGCAGGTAAGATCAGCATGTGTGCATGCACAGGTATGTTTGTGTAGGGGCCATGTGATGGCCACCACATCCCCTCTATTCAGCTGCCTTACAACAGTTGCTGCTGCAATGATCAAATATAACATACATTCACCACAAACTATTTTAAAAGCACTTCAGGGCTGAATATGCCTGTGATTTCACGATGGATAAACAGCCAATAAAGTAAAGACAATAAGGCAAAGGATGATAGAGCATTCTAGAAGAATTCCTCAGCAGCAGTATGTGTAGATCATATCCTCTGTTAAGTGTAATCATGATTACGCTGAAGTGGAGAAAATCTTCCTTGTCAACAAGAATGTCACTTTACAGGTCAGAGTACATTGACATAAGGGTTCAATCCCAAACTGCCAGGTCAAGTGTTCTCTTTGTGACAGCACCACTTTTATATTGGGAAGCCAAGGGTTCTGCAGGCACCCGGAGTGTTCGGGCACACATAACTTTACATACACACATACAAGCAATACATGAAGAGGAAGTCTGATCATGTGTGCTAGCCACATGCCCCAGCTATGATACACCCAATGATCACACACTCCAGGGCCATGAATGTGACATGAGTGCAAAATAGCTTGTGTGCATATAAAAGTACAGTCATAAGATTCCTCTCCATTCATAGGAACCCTGTTTGGCCTGGTCTCCTGCATGCAAATCTTATGCAAGTGAAGGCCTCTTCCCATTCATGCTAAATGCACAGGCTTCCAAGGCATAGCCTCCAGGCTTGATCCTGATCCCTTCTAATGCATTTTCTGAACAATGTGGGTGCATTTGTGGACAGCCCTATTGTCAAATAGGAAGCTCTTTTACACATTATCTGCACAAGCCTTGTTACCATTGATTCAATAAATGCCTGAGTACATTAAGTTTTCATGCATGTACATGCTAATAAAGTTAATCAACAGTACTTAATAATAGATGCTTTCAAAAAGTATCCCCAAAATCTCACCGGGGAAATATATCTGAGTTTAAAGTGGAGAATCAACTATATTCCTTCTCAGCAAGCATTTTAGATTACACGACTCATACTTTCACCTAAATGTATACCATGATGGCAGGGGAGAAAAACTTTAGAAGTGAGTTACACACACACCCTGGCTGTTAAGAACATCCTGAAGACTACATGAGCAGAATGCTTTTTGTTAATTAAAATGCTTTCCGATTGCTTATCACCTATATAGTCCCTTGTAGATTTGCTATAATTCACACCTGTTCAGCTGACAAACAACACCCAAATTACCATTTGAAAAGACTGGTTCTGAACCATATTCTGTGTTATTCTTTGTTTACCAAAATGCTTTTATGATTAATTTCATTCCTTTCATAAACTACCTTCAGCAAATAGTCTAATCACTACAGTTTAATAGGGTCCTTTTATTCCAGTTTATTAAATGCTTTGCAATAGAGTAGTAAAACTAACAAGCCAAATAATGGCAGTACAATGTGACTTGGAAGGGTAAGATGTTTTTTTAAAAATGCAACCTTTCAAGTGATAATTAGCCATTTTCCTAATGTGAGCATTCCTCACATTGCTAGCATTCCTCAACAGCCATTTTACTTCCGAAATACCAGCCCAGCCTTGCAATTAGTGGCTAACAACCTATTTCCCTACTTGGCTCTCCCTATATGCTCCCTTTTCACTTCTTTCCCACCAGCCATTCCCCAGCACCATTCCTTCATAATTTTAAAAAGAGAAATGTAGACCCTCCAAGCATACCCCACCCAGCCAGCTGAAAGAAAACACCTTAGTGGACCTTCCATGACACTGTTCATTAGAAATATCACTGCTATTAGCAAGGTTGTTCCTCTTGGTCTTAAAAGGCCATTGGCAGGGCCAAAATCAGGTCCAAAACAATCAACACTACTTTATATCTATTTTTATCTGCTGAGTTTTAACAATTTACTCTAGATACACACTGCCTACAGGCCACACGCCTCCCCTTCCTGCCATCCACATCCATGGTGGCAAAGAACAAAAAAAAGTGCAGAGGCGAGTGGACAACAGATAATGGTCTATCTGGGAAAATGTTTACAGGATGCTGGAGTTGTCTCATTTCAGAGGAGGAACAAGAATATATCAGGCTAAAAGATTCTCCAGCTTTCATAAATCTTCTACGTTTGAATTAATATTTATTTAATCCTTCACTGTTTCAAGTCTTTCTATACACACAGAAAGACACATGTTTTCAACTATGTTATTCTTGCACATCACTTTATATAGAACACTCATTTTGGAGTACTGTACATTTATTTCTTTATTTGGATATGTATTTATAAACACTGCTTGAACAGTTAAAAATTCACAAATACTTGATTTTCTGGTGCTATGACACAAGAAGAATTACACTTGGTCTAATTCTGCACCAAACATGCTAGTAACATTCAAAAAGAGGAGAGGAAAGAGAGTAGTTTCCTTCTAGGAGCATTTTAAAGTTTTTTAAAGCATGCTTAAAAATGTATCCTTTAAAGCTTGCAAAGAATAATCAATTAAACTACTAAACTGAACAAATCCATTCAGAAGTAACATTCTCAGTCCTACAGACTTAAGTCCATTGTCACTTCTTGCACACAGAGTAAACTTCCTTGTTTGTTACCGTTTGAAAAACCAGGATACTGTAGTTTACATGCTCCCAACAAATTAGGATTCCCACATTTCTCAGTTTGGACATCAGAGGGAAATTGTGGGTTAAATAAATGAGAAATTATCTGAGATAGCAAGGAATGGAAGTACTCAAACTTATCCCCATTCCAAACAGACAGCAATTATTAGATTGGGAATGCTGTATCTGAACCAGCCTACCGAATGTTACCATTCCAATTTTGTTAGATTTTGTATTGCTGCACATTCAGACATCATTTGTCTCAACCATATCACTGTGAAGTATGTTTGTTTCATTATTTGAAATGCAAGCAAACAAAGATAGCTGTGTTGCTACAAAAACAATAATCTTGCCAACTATGTTGAGTGAAATAATTATAAATATTAATTGAGCCAATGCATGTTTCTTCATGATTTATTGTAAGGCAAATATGCAAGCGAGACATTACAAACCACAATGTAGGTAACAATGGAAGGCTTTCATAAGAAGAAAGAACTGTGAGGAAAGCAAGATATAATTCACAAATTATGTTGCAGGGGAAGGCTGGTCCTCTCCTGGCCTACCACTGATTGTGTTGCACGGCAATACCTGCTGCGAAGTGAGTAAGGGATGACACACTATCCCATTTTCCTGCTACAAAGGAAAGGAAAACTTCTACAGCAGCCTTCCACAATGGCATCCTCAGGATGTGTTTAGACTACAACAGCTGGGTGCAATGCAATCGCCCAGTTGGGAAAGGATTTTCTGTGGCTACAAGGCTACAGAAGCAGCCAGCTGCTTGAGGACTCATGAACATGGACTGCAATGCAATGATTAAGGCTCAGCTCCCTTTCCACTCCTTCCTGAATTATCAACATTATTTTGTGCTCCTCTTTGAGGACTCTGCACCACTCTGCACCAACAGAGCAAAATATGCAGGTAACATACTTAATGCCCATCTTATTTATTTATTTCTTAAAACATTTTTATGCCGCCCCATTCGCCGAAGCCTCTTGGAATAGGGTCAGCTGAGATTCATCAAGCATGAGCATTCTCTTGAGCCAGATGAGGGAGATGATGCTAGATACTATAGTCCTCTACTAAGTGAAGCGCAGTGTATTATTTAGTTATTTTGTCATGATTAGCATAACAAGGTTATCAGAAATGATCAAGTCCAGTTCTACCAGTGGAAGTATGTAGAAATAAGGTATAACAAAAGTTGCACC